TCTGTTTTTATAATAATAACCATGGTTTAATTTTAATAATTCTACAAATGATTTTTCTTCCGCATCCATATTCGTTAGTTGCGGTAAAAATTTTGTGAAACGTGGCCTATTAAAGAGAAAGTCATTAACATATGAGAATTGAGGTACGTACGTACGTACGAGATTATTTAAAATAAAATACTGTACTCCAAAAGTGAAAATTTTATAGGATGAATATTTGTAACTAATTCCTGGTTGCGAAACCTACGACAAGAACCCTGTGCGACTAATGAAAATTTTATAGGATGAATATTTGTAACTAATTCCTGGTTGCGAAACCTACGACAAGAACCCTGTGCGACTAATAAAAATGCAATATAAATTTTGTGTTAAAAAAATTTAATTAACAATAACGATGGATTTAAAGAATTTAATTGGGAAATTTATAATTAATTCAAATAATAAAATTTCTATCCAGATCGATAATAACCCACCTGTAACTTACGATAAGCTTAATCCAGAGTCAACACTTAAAGAAGTGCGAGAAAAACTATCAAACTCTGAGGAACAAAAAACTCACATTTATGAATATATGAACTTTGTTGGTCCGTATGGAATAATTTTACGTGATCAAGAAAGCAATGAATTACTGAAAGAAAACTTACACTGTGGTTATATTTTAAGGGTTGAAAGGTCAATTGATCCCAACATTAGTGAAACTACACAGAGATGTATGCTAAATTATGGAATAAAAATGACAGAGGACGGGCCTAAAAATGTTAGTGAGATAGCATTTGAATTTCATCAAGATATTACTCAAAGTGTCAAGATGAGGAAATTTTTCGCTGAATATAAATATGAAGGGACATGTATAAATAAACACGAGAATTTCTTACGCAAAAATTTAGTGGCAGAAGGGAAAATCTCAATAGCTATGCCATCACAATCATCCGTCGGTTTTACAATTTTGCATGGTAGTCAAACTAATAATACATATAACACAGAATTTTCTTCTAAATATAATATAAGATTATTTTCGAGGTACGAAATAGAAATTGATATTAAGAAAGTACAACCAACCGAAATTTTTATACAGGAAGTAAATTCTGCTTTGCAAAGTAATAATCCTGTAAATGAACTCAAAAGGGTGTGCGAAAAGTTCGGAGAATGTATAGCTAGCAAAGTTAAAATCGGCGGAAGAATACATAAAATCGAATATTACAATATGTCAAGCTCATCACGACAAATCTCAACAACTATGTCTGCCGATATAAATATCGGATCGAACCTTGTTGGTAGCATAGGAGGTAGTTATAGTAATGTAAATGGACATAACGTATCTTCATCTACGTCAAATGATAAAATATACATTCGTTTTTATGGAGGAGATGAAAATAAATTTAAAGAAGATAACATAGTCTTATGGCAAGACTCTTTAGAAGACTATACCACCTGGCAAGTTATAGAATATACTGAATTGATTCCAATATTCGATGTTCTAAACTCAGAACTTCGCCAAAAAGTTCTTGAAGCAATGGGACAAAAAGTTCTTTATAGTAAAATAGACTCAGTTGATGTTGTCATGTCATCATCTAAATTTTCATATGAGCATAAGCTAAGCATACCATCGAATCTAAGCTATGTAGATCTAAAAGAGTGCCAAATTTTTGCATCCGTTATGAATGCTACGAACAAGAATAAGAATAAAAATAAAAAAGTATTTTCTACACGTATTATCTTATATACATCAAATAATTCTGCTAGCGTAGTTCTTCATCGAATCCATAAAAAATCAAAGAAATCAAAGAAATCAAAGAAAAAGAAGGGTAAAGTTTTTAATCTGCAAATAGGCTGGGTTATTGTTGGTAAACCAGCAGATTTTAGATATGAAGATTGT